TTCACGTCGTGTACAATAAAATAAATGAACAATATGATAGACAAATGTATTAAGTACATAAAATGGGAAATTTAAGTTACGTTTCATTAATCAAATAGAAATAAATTCATCGAATGATGAAATGATACTGTCAACAGAATTCGTCAATAATATACTTAAATTAATATGCAATTGTATGGTCATGAATAATGAAATTGGGAAATTCGTGTGCAATTTTAAGATCGTCAGCACCTTGTATTTGCACATTCAGTCGCGCCATGGGATATATATTTCAATTGTACATACGTTACTTTTGTTGCTATTTGATTCGTATCGTGCGTTGCTTGTTCATGTTCGTGAGCATTAATGAAATGTAGGAGGTCAAGAGATCGTCCATCTTGTAACCCAATGAAGTTTCGCATAAAAGTTTCGAGCCGCGCACAAGGTTCCCTATCGTCATATGGAAGTAGGTATTGCCAGACGACCAATTGGAGATTCTTGTAAAGGGATGGGTGATGAGTATGTCCTACAAATAAATAAATTGTATGTTAGATTATTAATAGCGTCCAACATGCGTAAAACATTGAAACTAAGAAATTAATAATATTTATAATTCTCTACATGTACATTTATAATACTTATTTGTAACTCTACATATACATTTCTCAGTGAAAGAAAATAACGCATCTTGATTACCTTTGATTGAGGATGTATGAGACTCACGCCGTGTTTGTTGATGGCGATTAATAACAATTCGGGATAATTTGGTTCCGTGCTCTGTTTCACTTCAAAGAATGCGGAGCCGAACGTCGGCCATCGATATACGATTTTCAGAAATGTAATTTTCGCATCTTCTGGACTCATGCCTGGGATTTATCTCGATTAAAGTATCTCAGTTTTTTTTCATGCATCATAACGAATCTTTATCGTTTGTGCTTTTTACTTACCAGCATCTTGATTATAGGCAGCGATTATCGATCTCTTCCAATCATTAGCACTCTGTATCTTGATTAAATCACCTGGTATCAGTTCTCTTAGCATTTGTCTGAAATCGAAAGAGAGTTCTCTTGTTATTTGTAATGTCTGTCCTTTGCAAAACTATAAATAATGTGTAACGAAGAATATTACGGAATCGCTTGTAATTCTTGTTTGCTCTCGCCGAATCGTACTCTATATACCAAGGCTGCTAATCTTGATGCTTCTTCTTTCGTACATTTGTGATAGCCTATACATATTTCAATAAGGGCAATGATACAATACGATGTATCATTTATTATTATGTAGAACGCGTATTGTCAGAATTAAACAATTTCATGACTATTACTTACCTCTCAGTAATTTGGGAAGTTCTTGATGAAAATGGAAAATCAAATCGGCATTTCTATCTTTACCAGGAACTGTATTTGTCCAAAGCTTCTTCATGAAGAAGACTTGATATGTAAATTGTGGTGACACTCCTAGATAATGTACATAATACTAATATAAAAATGTTTAATGTAAAAATATATGCGTTCAAACATATATGATATGAATATCATGTATGAATAGAAATTTTAACAATTAAAGCTTCTATTTCCTCGTTGCAATATCTATTACTGCGTTTGAATTGTGACGTGCAAGAACAGAGGGGGGAGGTGGGGGCTATCAAGTAATTTCGATTTTTTTATAAATTTGAAATGATTTGTATTGTATGATTGAATTTGTATGATTTCAAGTGATTTCAAATGTTTAACTGTGATTTGAACTTGATTTCTTAAGATTTGAAATTATTTCAACTGAGAATTCCGATTTAACTTGATTGTGATTGATTTTTTTTTTTTCGTGAGTGAGTAATAACTTCTCGGTGAAGAGAGCGATGTTACCTGATTTTGTCCTTGTAAAAATTAATTCTTTTATGTCATTGTGCACGTTTGACGTGCAATACAGACATAAAAATATCGAAATGTTTAGTTTTTTATTCTTCAACTT